GAACATGGTGAAACCCCGTCTCTACTAAAAATACAAAAAAATCAGCTGGGCATGGTGGCGCGTGCCTGTAATCCCAGCTACTCAGGAGGCTGAGGCAGGAGAATTGCCTGAACCCAGGAGGCGGAGGTTGCAATGAGCCGAGATTGTGCCATTGTACTCCAGCCTGGGTAACAAGAGTGAAACTCTGTCTCAAAAAAAAAAAAAAGAAACCAGTGTCTTGTTTTCAATAAGATACACATATGTATTCACTAGGCCTGGAAAATTACTCCTTCATAATAAGTTGTATTCTATATTCAAGGTATCCTGAAAGTATGGGAATCCCACAATCATAGAAGGTAACAGTGGTGTTTAAACTAGTTGAATGCTGTGTTGCAATGTGCTGAGATTTACCTATACTTAGTTACGTGGATTTATGGATTCTATCCAGTTTTAATTTAACCTTCAAAAATTGGTATCTGACAAATGGTACCTGTAGAAACCACTCATTAAAGACGTATGTATTGGTGGGGCATGGTGGCTCCCACCAATAACCCCAGTACTCTGGGAGGCAGGCAGATGACTTGAGCCCAGCAGTTTGAGACCAGCCTGGGCAATATCGTAAAACCCCATCTCTACAAAAAATACAAAAGTTAGCTGGGTGTGGTGGGCTAAGGTGGGAGGATCATTTGAGCCCAGGAGGTAGAGGCTACAGTGAGCTGTGATCACGCCACTGCACTCCAGCCTGGGTGACAGTGTGAGATCTTGTCTCAAAAACAGACAAAAAAAAAAAAAAAGATATATATATATATATATATATATATATGCACTAATGCAAAGTATAAACAATAATAACAGCACTGAGTCGTCTAAAAAAATAACCACCTCCCTCAATTATGGTTTGATCAGTCCTGACAAATGGATAAAAAAATAGAAATGTTGCGCCGGGCGCGGTGGCTCAAGCCTGTAATCCCAGCACTTTGGGAGGCCGAGGCGGGTGGATCACGAGGTCGAGAGATCGAGACCATCCTGGTCAACATGGTGAAACCCCGTCTCTACTAAAAGTGCAAAAAATTAGCTGGGCATGGTGGCGCGTGCCTGTAATCCCAGCTACTCAGGAGGCTGAGGCAGGAGAATTGCCTGAGCCCAGGAGGCGGAGGTTGCGGTGAGCCGAGATCGCGCCATTGCACTCCAGCCTGGGTAACAAGGGCGAAACTCCGTCTCAAAAAAAAAAAAAAAAAAAAAAAAAAAAATAGAAATGTTAAATACTATTTGAATATGGTTTTATATAAATGTCACTTTAAGTGTACACTGAGTTTTGAGAATCATCTGATATATATAATTCATATGTAGTACATACATACATGAATTATAAACATACATTTGAAATATGTTTGAATTTTATTTTTAAAAATTCCTTGGTGATATTTATGTAAAATAACATCCTCTCACAACTGAGGGGTGGATAGTGGTCAAACTATCATTGCATTTTGCACAACAAAGACACTGATAAAAGGTAGAGTTCATCCTCATTATTCTCTGATTCTTTCTAAGTTTACCTACTTGCAAAATTTGTAATGACAAAACCAGCTTTTGAGGTCTTTTAGCAGTTGCTCACAGACAGACACAGAGCAGAGCAAATTTTGAGTTGCCCATTGCACACGTTCACAGCTTCACAACAGAGGGAGCATGTTCCCCAATGGGGTCAAACAAGGCAATGCTATGCTTTCTTGTTTCTGCTCTTGTGCCATAAAAAGTATCCTTTTCGTGGTCTATTTTGTGCTAACTTTCTTGCATTTCTGTTGGTGAATTTGGGGTGTAAAACGACTGCCAAATGTAAAGGGCTATCTGGTGTTGGCTGAATTCATGGGTGTGAAACCCATGGATACAGGGATACAGTGGGCCAACTGTATACTTTTATTGTTTCTGTTCAGAGGGTCTCATAAAGTTACTGATATTGTTTGCAGGAGTTGTGACATAAATAATAACGTATATTTGCTATGGTTTGAACATCTGTCCTCTCTAAAGCCACGCTGAAACTTGATCGCCAATGTAGCAGTGTTGACAGGTGAAGCTTTTAAGAGGTGACTGGGTCATAAGGGCTCTGCTCTGATGACTGGATTAATGGTTAGTTATCAAGTGAGTGGTTCTGGTGCTTTATAAGAGGAAGGGAGACCTGAGCTGCCACGCTCAGCCCCCTTGCCATGTGATGCCCTGTATCATCTTGGAACTGCATAGAGTCCCCACCAGCAAGAAGGTTCTCACCAGATATACCCTTTCAACCTTGGACTTCCAAGCCACCAGAACTGTAAGAAGTAAATTTTGTTTCTTATAAATTATCATTTCAGGCATCTGTTACTATCAACAAAAAGTGAACTAAGACAGTACTGTATTACTAGTAGAATTAGTTTATTTGCTTTATAGTCACATAACAATGATCATTAAAAAAACCCATCCCTTTTACCGCTTGGAACCAAACATCATGAACTTCAATGAATTAGGGTTTGGTAGTACTCTGCAAAGACAAGACTGTAACTCTAACTACACAAGTCAGTCCCTTTTAAGTGAATCTATCCTGCCACAGCTCCTACAGAAGAGGCAGCCCTATGTAACTGAGTCAGTCTAGTATAGTGGCTTTTCAGGCAGAAAGACCTGAATGTAAATCCCAACAAATTACAGAGAGGCCAATCCATAGATTGGCACCAAGGGAAATGATGGTAGATCCAAGTTAAGAATAAACAGAAACTGCCGGGCGCGGTGGCTCAAGCCTGTAATCCCAGCACTTTGGGAGGCCGAGGCGGGTGGATCACGAGGTCGAGAGATCGAGACCATCCTGGTGAACATGGTGAAACCCCGTCTCTACTAAAAGTGCAAAAAATTAGCTGGGCATGGTGGCACGTGCCTGTAATCCCAGCTACTCAGGAGGCTGAGGCAGGAGAATTGCCTGAGCCCAGGAGGCGGAGGTTGCGGTGAGCCGAGATCGCGCCATTGCACTCCAGCCTGGGTAACAAGGGCGAAACTCCGTCTCAAAAAAAAAAGAATAAACAGAAACTAAAGAAGCAGAGATAAAGAATAAGTCACTTGGTTAAATTACCAAAAGAAGCTCATACTGGAGAATGGTTAAATAACATAAATGCCAGTGAGGATCACATTCCTGCTGCTGAAAACCCTGAAGCTACATTCGAGCCTTCTGTACTTGTGTTACTTATCTTTTAATTCTTCTTCTTTTTTTTTTTTTCAAAGAGATGAGGTTTCACTATGTTGCCCAGGCTGGTCTCAAACTCCTGGGATCAAACAATCCTCCCACCTTGGCCTCCCCAAGTGCTGGAATTACAGGCGTGGACCACCACGCCTTGCCATTATTTATCTTTTAACTGACTTGGTTCTCAGGCTTCAGTTATGTTCTGGTCAAACTCTGTTTTCTTAATTGCATGACCTATAACCATCAAACTCCCCCAGCACTCCATTTAGCGTGGCTTAGCCCAAATAGAGGTTGGAAAATTGTGTGTGAGGGAATGTAAGAGTCAAGCATTGGGGCCGGGCCCGGTGGCTCAAGCCTGTAATCCCAGCACTTTTGGGAGGCCGAGGCGGGTGGATCACGAGGTCAACAGATCGAGACCATCCTGGTCAACACGGTGAAACCCCGTCTCTACTAAAAATACAAAAAACATTAGCTGGGCATGGTGGCGCGTGCCTGTAATCCCAGCTACTCAGGAGGTTGAGGCAGGGGAATTGCCTGAACCCAGGAGGCGGAGGTTGCGGTGAGCCAAGATCCTGCCATTGCACTCCAGCCTGGGTAACAAGAGTGAAACTCCGTCTCAAAAAAAAAAAAAAAAAAAAAAAGATTCAAGCATCCATGAGCGTGGGAGTTACCAGACAAAACTAAGATCCTTTCCAACCCCAAAAGGTCACGATTCTAAGTTGTGGTCCTACCCAATATTTTCTTCAAGGTAACACAAATCACCTATGAATTTACTAGCACCAAGCAGTAGTTCCTTTTATGGTCCTAAATAAGATCCTTTATATAGGAATGCCCTAGTTCCTATATTCTGAGATTTCACAAACATCCTCATTTTAGCTTCATGACTACAAATTTCACAGGTAACTTTTCTTAAGCCTTATTTTCAGAATGTAGAGTCCTTATATTTTTATTATCTTATAACGCCCAAGCCCCCTTGCACCTCTAACCCAGTGGTGTTTTACACTACAGATACTGTACTGCAACATTTCCTGTGCATAAACACCTACCTCTTTCTTTTTTTAAAAGCTGGTATATTGTTCCATTATACAAACGTACCGTAATTAATATTTCACCAGTTCCTACTAATGGACTTTGGGTCGTTTCCAATGTTATATACGTACAATGCTCAGGTCAACAACTTTTTATACGTTTATCTTTAGCGTATGCAAGAGCAACTAAAATACCACTGGGTCATTTCAAGTTGCTCCTCTTTGAACTGTTTTGAGCTTAGATCTATCTTTGAACAGAAACAAAAACTAGAAAGCACCCAAAACTCTGGTTGCAGATACAGAAATAGAGTGTGGCACGATGCTAATGGGAGAAATGGTCTCTTTTTTTGAGGGATCGCCTATTAGCTTGAGACTAGATCTTCCCAAGGGTCCTCAAGGCAAGAAAATACACTGTAATTCTTGAGGAATTTTAGATAACTCAGAGATGAGGTTAAGAAATAGTAAAAGCTTAACAGTCGAAGATAGGAAGCTTCAATTTCATGATCTGATGTTCCCGATTACAGAAAGTTCAAAGATGATGTTTAAAAAAATTATACATGCACGTATGCTTTAAAAAAAAAAAGAAAGAAAGAAAACATAATAAACGTCATCGCCCAGCCTTCTTAAAGATGGTCCCACCCGCGGCTAGCCGGGCAGGTGGAGAGACCCGAGCGGCACCCGAGCCACATCCACGCCGCCCGCCTGCGCCTGGGGTCTGGGTGGGTAACGGCGGCGGCGCGCCAGGCCGCCCAGCGGGAAGGAGGGGCTCTCAGGCCGTCCCTCCCAGCTCTCACCTCAGCTCCTCGTCTATACTCCCGCGGGGCTGTTCGGCCGACGCCACCATAGAGGAAGTCGTGGAGGTCTTGTTCTTTAGGATCCCCTTGATGGGCCGGTGCGAGGCCGTCGAGGCCGCCATTGCCGGGCGCTTCGGCTGTCGGCTCAGGGTCGCTGGTTGGCTTGGGATCCGCGAAGAGAAGGGTCGGCACTAGCAGAGACCCGCAGGCAGCCGCGGGGTCCGCTGAGGGCTCAAGCGGCCGCACCTGCTGCCTCGGAAACGGCTGCCGGAGCGGTTGTCACGACACAACGACCCCGACGCCAGAGCCAACGCCGAACGGGTGGCGGTTCCTCGCGCACCCTTAGAAGCCAGCACTTGACCCCGCGACTCGCGGGCAGACGCCGGCCTAGTGCTACAAGGCGCGAGCGACGCCGACGCCGAAGCCGAAGCCAAAGCCAAGCGGGCCCGCCCTCTCGCGATATCTAGTGCGGGGGCGGGGCGCGGCGGAGGCGGGGCGAGGGCGGGACAAGAACAAAGACTACCTCCTCGCCCCGCCCCCTCCTGCCCGCTCGCGCTGCTCGCCCCGCCCCCGCGCGGCGCTGGGAGGCGGTGGCTGTTTCCGAGAACCTGCAGGAGAGCATTCGGGCTTGCTTCTGCCCAGACCTGTGCATCTCTCGATCACCCTCGTCCCACCACCTTGTGAGGCCATAGTGTTATTTTTATTTTTAACAACTGATAATCAATTTATTAAAATTTTTATTTTTTAGATCAGCAAATTGAGGCTCGAGGTGACGTCACTCCGCAGAGAGGTTAGCTGACTTGAAGAAAAGTGATGTCTCCTCTTTCCCTTTCGCCCGCGTGAAAAGCCGAGGTGCCTATTATAAAAGCATGGACCGCCGACATTGGAGTGGTCCTTGGGAGGCCTGTTATGAAATCATGGAATGTCTGCATTGGCATCGCCTCACCTCCTTTTACCGTTGGAGAAGCCTACGGACAGAAGGGCAGCGACCCCCGCCGTCGCACAACCCGCCTGGCCTAGAGCGCAGGAGACAGGAAGGCGGCAGAGACGCATCCCCCAGCCAAGGACCCCCTGGGCCCGCAGAGGCTGTGCCAGGTTCCCTCCAGAGAGAGAACCAGCTGTGCCGCACGTCGATGTGGACTTAAAGTCTCCAGAACCGAGACAGCCCATTTCCATTGTTTAAAGCCACCCCGTTTGTGGTATTTGGTTACATATATTATATACATATATATTTGTTGTTGTTTTGAGATGGAGTTTCGCTCGTTACCCAGGCTGGAGTGCAATGGCGTGATCTCGGCTCACTGTAACCTCCAACTCCCGGGTTCAAGCGATTCTCCTGCTTCAGCCTCCTGAGTACTGGGATTAAAGGCAAGCGTCACCACACTCGGTTAATTTTGTATGTTTAGTAGAGACGGGGTTTCTCCATGTTGGTCAGGCTGGTTTCGAACTCCTGACCTCAGGTGATCCGCCCACCTCGGCCTCCCAAAGTGTGTGAGCCATGGCGCCCAGCCTGTGGTATTTGTGATGGCCCCTGTACACTCCCTCCCTTCCCTCCCCCATCTCCATTCGGCAGTTCGCTCATAACCAGGCTCTTTTCCATCACTCTTTCTTGATCAGGCCTTTTTACCATCCTCACCACAGGTCAAAGCACAGCAGACGGATCTACCCAAGAGTTTCCCCCCATCTAACCCCTATCACAGCAGTCTCACTTACACGGCTCATCTCTGGGCCACAGTCTCATCTCCTTTAACACAGGCTCTGTGCCTTTTGAGGACGACCCTGTTCTGTGTCCTTAGGACTGTGCTCCCCAGGGATGACTGTAGGGTTCTGAAAACTGGTCTGTTTTTATTGTCTGGTCCCTAGCTCCTAGCTGAATTCTTGGCACAGAACAGGGCCTCAGTAAGGGAATGGATGTGGAATGGAGATAATGGAGGGGAAGTGAGCTAGAAGAGGAGAAGGGAAACAGGGTTGCTGGTCGCAGAGTGGAATGTGTTCCCCAGGGATTTCCCCTCAGCCAAGGGCCTGCACAGTCGATCTTGGCACTGGCCCCACCTTTGTTCTCAGTCAAATATGCACTGGTGCTCTCCCTCTCCCTCCCAGGCCAGAACTGCTCAATGGATCTGACATTACACCCTGACAGTCCTGTCCAGCCCGCAGGGCAGAGAGAGGGTTCTCAGTGAGGGGAAGCAGGATGGCCACCTCCCTTCCCTTCCTGAGTCCTTTCTGCTCCAGCATTCTGTTCTATCTTTGAACAGAAACAAAAACTAGAAAACACCCAAAACTCTGGTTGCAGGTGCAGAAATAGACTGTGGCACGATGCTAATGGGAGAAATGGTCTCTTTTTTGAGGGATCGCCTATTAGCTTGAGACCAGATCTTCCCAAGGGTCCTCAAGGCAAGAAAATACACTGTAATTCTTGAGGAATTTTAGATAACTCAGAGTTGAGGTTAAGAAATGGTAAAAGTTGGCCGGGCGCGGTGGCTCAAACCTGTAATCCCAGCACTTTGGGAGGCCGAGGCGGGTGGATCACAAGGTCGAGAGATCGAGACCAACCTGGTCAACATGGTGAAACCCCGTCTCTACTAAAAATACAAAAAAATTAGCTGGGCATGGTGGCACGTGCCTGTAATCCCAGCTACTCAGGAGGCTGAGGCAGGAGAATTGCCTGAACCCAGGAGGCGGAGGTTGCGGTGAGCCGGTATCGCGCCATTGCACTCCAGCCTGGGTAACAAGAGCAAAAACTCCGTCTCAAAAAAAAAAAAAAAAAAAAAAAAAAAAAGAAATGGTAAAAGCTAGGGCCGGGCGCGGTGGCTCAAGCCTGTAATCCCAGCACTTTGGGAGGCCGAGGCGGGTGGATCACGAGGTCAAGAGATCGAGACCATCCAGGTCAACATGGTGAAACCCCGTCTCTACTAAAATACAAAAAATTAGCTGGGCATGGTGGCGCGTGCCTGTAATCCCAGCTACTCAGGAGGCTGAGGCAGGAGAATTGCCTGAACCCAGGAGGCGGAGGTTGCGGTGAGCCGAGATCGCGCCATTGCACTCCAGCCTGGGTGACAAGAGCGAAACTCCGTCTCAAAAAAAAAAAAAGAAAAGAAATAGTAAAAGCTTAACCGTTGAAGATCTGAAGCTTCAATTTCATGATCTGATATTCCAAATTACAGAAAGTTCAAAGATGATGTTTGTTTAAAAGTAGTATATATGCACATGTGCATATAAAAATAATATATTTACATATAAAAATATTATATATGCACATTATATGCACAGACGCAACTGTGGTGCGTCTCCTGACCTAGCAGGAGCCTGGGTCACTGGTGGCAATCCTGTTTTCAAGAAAATACACAAAACTTCCCTGTATGTTTTAAAGTATTGAGCAGATTAGCTTTGTTCCTGCTTGGGCTGGGAAGCATCACCCTGAGCTCAGCAGTGACTGAGCCCTTAATTAAGCAATGGCTTGCTTTCAGGCCCTCTAATGACAGGGACTACCGCAGTATGTAGTATGACATAATGTATTTTATTACAGTTAATAAACTAACAAACATTGGAACAGGAGGTGATGAGTTCTCTGAAGAACCTTGCAAACATGTTTCCCTCATCCAGAGTTAAACTTTTGTCTCTTGTACTAGTTCTTCCGCTCCCAAACCCACAACAAAAGGATGCAGATGAGGATGACTTGGATAGCACTTAAAAAAAAAATAGTTTGTAAAATTGTGACAAAAAAGAAAATAGTTTGTAAAATTATGAGAGCCAGTACTGCTTTTCTTTTTTTTTTCTAAAGCTATGTAGTCTAAGATATTTTGTTATTATTTTTTTCTTTTTTGAGACAGAGCCTTGCTCTGTCGCTCAGACTGGAGTGCAATGGTGAGATCTCTGCTCACTGCAGCCTCCACTTTCCAGCAATTCTCCTGCCTCAGCCTCCCGAGTGGCTGGGATTACAGGTGCCTGCCACCACACTCAGCTAATTTTTGCATTTTTAGTAGAGACGGGGTCTCCTCATGTTGGCCAAGCTGGTCTTGAGCTCCTAACCTCAGGTGATCCACCCGCCTTGGCCTCCCAAAGTGCTGGGATTATAGGCATGAGCCACCTGCACCCAGCCTGCTTTTCCTCATATTTCAGAATAGTTGAACCACCTTATTCCTCAGTGTGGCCCAAATAAGGTTTTCAAATGCCTCTAAACAGAGCTCTCCTTACATGCCTCTGCTGAGGTTTGCTCCTGTAGGAAGTTATCTGGACCAAAGGGCTGGAGCGCTGAGTTCAGCTGTATTTGTTTTTTTTTTTTTTTTTTTTTTTTTTTTTTTTGAGACGGAGTTTCGCTCTTGTTACCCAGGCTGGAGTGCAATGGCGTGATCTCGGCTCACCGCAACCTCCGCCTCCTGGGTTCAGGCAATTCTCCTGCCTCAGCCTCCTGAGTAGCTGGGATTACAGGCACGCGCCACCATGCCCAGCTAATTTTTTGTATTTTTAGTAGAGACGGGGGTTTCACCATGTTGACCAGGACGGTCTCGATCTCTCGACCTCGTGATCCACCCGCCTCGGCCTCCCAAAGTGCTGGGATTACAGGCTTGAGCCACCGTGCACGGCCCTGAGTTTAGCTGTATTTGTTTTACATTTCCTGTGTGTTGAAGGTTTGGCTACCAAGAGGTGAATTATAGATGGAATCTTTCATTCTGGTTCCAGTTTCTGGAAGTAGCTATTGAGCTCAAGGCAAATCATATATTTAAAAATACATACATGATTCAAGGATAATCTGGCATTTATCTCTGCTCTCTTTTTGAAGACTTCATTGTCATGGTTGACTGACCCAACACAACACATTTGGAGGAGGAGAGGGGACACTTTTATTGTACCCTATCACATGGCTGAGTCATTTGGCTCTCCATTCATTGGAACAGATGACTATGGCCAACACCATGGGGTTTCCCACCAAGAACAGAATCCCAAAGCAACAATGGCTTCCATGGTTGGCTCACCCCGCCTGCCTGAGCCATCAACTAGGTCCACAGAGTAGAGAAGTAGGTAGTGCCCCTGCCTGACATCTGGAAAAATGCCCAAAGCTTGTGACTTCATGACCACTGAGTCAGCAGCAACTCTTTTCTTGCCAAGAATACCACATTGTTATTTTCCTTTTCAGGTAATCCCTCCCCGGAAAGAGATCACTGATTTTGTAGTATTAAATACATTGTAGAAATTCATGGTAGCATGGACAAGATTATTTAAACAAAATATAGAAAGTCTCATAGAGAGGAAAAGCCAAGGACAAAGATTAATCCTTTTCTGCTTAAAAAAAATGGTTTTGAGGCTGGGCACAGTGGCTCATGCCTGTAATCCCAGCATCTTGGAAGGTCGAGGTGGGCAGATCACCTGAGGTCGGGAGTTCAAGACCAGTGTGACCAACGTGGAGAAACCAGTCTCTACTAAAAATGCAAAAAATTAGCTGGACATGGTGGCAGGCCCCTGTAATCCCAGCT